AAATAGAAAACACCACATTGTAATGCATTCACACGAAGGTTTTAACCAAGGAAAGTCGACTTTCTGCAAGAAACTAGAGGAACCTAGAGACCAGAACACTGAAAAATGGAAAAGGAAACCTTGTTCTCCATACAGCCCATAAATGCCTGGTGATTGCACGCTTTCACTCAGGGAAGCCGCATCACGGGAGGAGCCGGCCCAGGCCCCAGAAGGGGGCGCCGAAGCACTGCACTGCACCATCTCCGCGGCGGAGCACAGCGGCCTCGGAAGGCTCACCTCGCGTCCTGCCGCAGTCCCTCGGCCGCTAGTCGGAGCGAGTGAGGAGACCCCCAACCCCCACCCCTGCGCTCCTCCACCAGCACTTGCTGCTGCTGCTCCGGTCGCTTCCACCCGTGTTCGCAGCCCAGCAACTCGGAAACGCAACCTGCAGACTGGGCTGCGCAGCGTGGGAGGGTTCGTGGGCTTGGATCCGAACTTGCCAGGGTCCGCAGCTCTTCTGGCCTCCTAGGAGTGTGAACAGGTGAGTGTCACGCACGTGCCCAGGTGGCTCTTTCGGAAGGCTTCCTGCCACCCCTTCGGAGCTCTTGAGCGTTTGGCCTTTGGGTCAGGATTCCTAGTCACTGGGTGCTCCCAGGGCGGCTTTGGGGTTCCTCTGAGAGGGAGAGGTGAACGCCAGCGCCCAAGACTTGACAACACTCTGTGAGCTATGAATGCCCTTTTTTAACTTAGACTTCATTTGCTCCTAGGTTGAGAGCAAGTGGCCTGCAGTCCACAGCTGGCATGTTTGTTTATCATCCCAAGATACCTGTTGCTTTCAGAGCAACGCTATAGCCAGGGGGCTTGCACAAATTAACCTATCATAGGTCTCCATATGAAGCTGCGTTGTGCTAAGATGAGGGAGAATTGCTGGTCATGAGACAAGGAAAACTTGATTTCAGAGCTAGAGAAGGGGCAGTACAAAGAGAAGCTCATTCCTAGGACCAGACTACGTCCTTTGCTTCCCTAAACAGCTGCATGTTATTTTGATGAGACCATAAATACAGAAGTTAGGAAAACTAATTCCTTAGGAAGCTGCCTGCTTTTTCCTCCCCTTCAACCCAAGAGGAAGTAGAAAGTGTGAATCTGAATAAGTATGGTCTTGGGCATTTATTAATAAACATTTCTTTAGATAATAATAGTACTCAAAAGGTTATTAGTGATGGAAATGGCATAAGTCTAATAGATTGTAAGCTCCTGGAAGGTAGCCACTTTTTGTTGTGTATGCTTAGTGCATTATACATCATAAGGAGACGATTCCCTAAATGTGGAATGAATTAATGCTTTATTGATGAAGGATTTGGAAGCTAGCTTTATTTTCCCCCTTTTGTCTAAACATCCCTTTAATTACTTCATGTTTAGAAAAAAATCTCATTATCCTTAATATCTAGATGTGACTTTAGCTGTAGGCGTGATAGGAGTTCAGAAGTTTTTTATCCTAATAAAGCACAATCCATATAAAAAGGAAATGATAGCTTCTGGACCCAGCCAGAATCCTTCATCATTATAACCTTAGAACAGTGGAGTTTTCTTAGATCCATGTTATGAAAGATACCAGATTATCAAGTGTTTTTGAACACCAAAAACTTGACAACAGGTAATTTATTAGAACAATTTATACATTTTTCTTTGTTTTCTATCCTTGTCAAATGTAAATTTTCACATGAGAAATAAAATATATGTCAGTTTTGTATCTTCCTTTAAGTGATTTTTCCAAGCATAAGGTTGACAATAACTAGCCGCAACTATATTAGGTTATAAATGAAAAACAAACACACTCAGTTTCACTCTCTTATGTGAAATTCTGACATCTCTGAGGCTATTTGGCTGTTACTGAAATATTTGACTTAATTAAAAAAAAAAAATTGTATTTGATGGCTACTTTCATAGAGCAAAAATTAGATGATCACTTGGGTTTTATATACATGGGAATGAACAGTTTTGCATGACAAAAACAACAAATTATTTTTTATATAAGTACCAGATACTTGCATGTTCTATATTTCCAAGAAATATGTGCCAGTAACTATTCTCATTTAGTATTATATGATTAATGTATCTTGATATATTATACTTCTGTGATGAAGCATCAAATCTGAAACATAGAGGCCTTTTCTTAATGAATGCACATAAAATGACAAATAAGGAAATCCTTTTATCTTTAGCCAAAAGTATGAGACTGGACAAATTACAGATGTTAAAGCTTCTGGGTTTTCTACTATTAATGAACTGAGATGATTTTTCATTATTGGGGATGGAATAAACAATATTACTGTTGACCGTCTCATCCTTCAGAGGAAGCTGTAGTGCTGTAGTGCTTTGGCAACAGTAAATAAAGAAATTTCTTAGGTACAGGCTGATGGCTTAAATGCATAATGAAGAAAACAGTTACATGCTAACGTCTCTGTAGAAATACTTTTGCAGACGGATTTTCACTTTTTTTCCTCTCTCTCCAAGAAGCACTTTATGAAAATTTATGCATGAGAAAAAGCTGAAAGGAACAGTTAACACATTAGATTACAGATTTATGTTTAAAAAATATCTTTACAGACTGGAAAAAATGGATGAAGACTGATGCAGTTAAGTTTAACAAGGATAAAAGTAAAGTCTTGTATTTAGGTTTAAAACACAAATTGCAGAAGTGCAGAACAGAAGCTTCTGCAATTCATGTAAAAGATTTGAGTCTTAATATGAGTGCTATGCTGTGATTCAGCTCAGTGTCCAGAAAACCAATGAACCAACCAACCAACCAACAGACAAAACCTGTTCTCATTCACAGCAACCCCAAGTGTTGTAGGGTAGAACTGAGCTCCATGATGTTTTCTTGGCTGTGATCTTTACAGAAGCAGATTTAAAGTCCTTTCTTTTATGGTGCCCCTTGTTGAGTTTGAGCCAACAAACTGTTTGTGCCACCCAGGGACCTTACAATATCCAAATAACCAAAAAACCTAAGCCCACTGACATTGAGTCAATTTCAACTCATAATGACCTATAGGACAGAGTAGCCCAGCAACTGCCCCATAGAATTTCCAAGGTTGTAAATCTTTATGGAAGCAGACTGACTCATCTTTCTCCTGCACAGTAGCTGGTGGGCTTGAACCACCTACCTTTTGGTTAGCAGCTGAATGCTTTCACCACTGTACCACCAGAGCTCCTCTGTCCAGATAAAGGACAGTAAAAATCTCAGTGAACTTTTGCTGTGTCAGTGAGGTCATATTTTGAGTAATGTATGTAGTTCTAGATGCCACTTTTTTAGAGATTAAAGTGGCATGTGCCAGAGGAGACTCTAGTATGTTGTGAAGAGGAAAGACAAGGGTAAAGAAAACAAAAATCAGAGTAGACAACGCATGAAGAACAAGTGAAGATGCTGGGCCTTGCTTTCCTAGAAAATAGAAGCCTGGCGTAGAGCAGAGGTCCTAATACCTGCTAGGCTACCCTGAGAATTCTGAGTGAAAGAAAAAGTTGACTTGTTTTGAGTTCTTTCATAGAACAAAATCAGAACAAATAAGTAGAAGTCTTAAGGAAACAGATTAGAGCTCAATATAAGTAAGGTAGATTTGGAGGTGGCTGGCTAGGAACGAAACAGCTTTTAAAGGTAACCACCCTCATGCAGGCAAGTGATAAGTCAGACACAGGATATCCATCTGGTTGTAAAGAAGGGTTATTGCAATGGCTGGAGGATTCTTCAGTTGACCCTAAGATTTTTTCCTCACTTTACGTTTTCATGATACTAAGACCTTAGGTATCATTCCTAAAACACCTGCCTATATAAAATACCTGTGCTTACATTGTTATAGGGAGTTTCTGCATGGTACAAACAGGCACTCAGCTGCTAACCAAAAGGTTGGAGGTTCAAGTCCACACAGAGGCACCTCAGAAGAAAGATCTGACAACATACTCCAAAAAAACCTACCACTGGAAACCCTATGGAGCACAGTTCTACTCTGACATGCATGGGGTCTCTATGAGTCAGAATTGACGTGATGGCAACTGGTACTGATTACCAAAACCAAACTCACTGCTGGTGAGTCAATACTGACTCATGGTGATCCTCCAAGACTGTGTTCTATTTGGAAGCAGACTGCTACATCTTTCTCCTGCAGAGTGGCTGGTGAGTTTGAACCACCAACCTTTTGGTTAGTAGCCAAGCACTTAACTGCTGAGCCACCAGGGGTCCTTTGGTACAGAATACATTACAATAATGCCATGTCCCAAGTGTTAGGACAATGCCATTAACTAATTTACTTGAAGTGGTTCCATAGTAAAGGGATCAGAACTCTCAGGGCATGGCATTTATCTTTTGGGCAGTTTTGTGTATCTTTTGGACACTTTTTGTGTATTTTAGGCATTTGTATCCAGCAAGAAATAAAAATGCTGGCTATTATGTATCAATTCTTATAGCATGTGTATCTGTCTGTTTTTCTTTTTCTTTTTTTTTTTGGCTAGTCTTGTGGTGTAGTGTGAATTGGGAAAATTTAACTTTGAAATGTGAAATTCAGTTGTGTTACTCTGAGTTTGGCTAATGAGTTGTAAATTATGTAGCTCAAATGAAAATAGAGAGGCCCTAAAAGGACTCTCTCCATCATGGGTGTTTATGCATTGAATATTTACAGACATGTAGTAAATTCATGCATTCAAATACTTCAAACATTTGCGATCGATTATTGCCAAGAAATAATCCTCCAGAAACAAATTCCTTGAGGAAGTATTTTATAAAATGTTATTTTGTGTAGTGAAAAACACACATTTTAGAACTAAGCAGATCTAAATTCAAGGCCTGGCACTGCTATTTATTAGTTGAATAGTTGACAATAAATTACTATACACCTCTTCCAGGATAGTGGTGAAAACCAAATTAGAAAATGTTGATAAAAGCGAATGTTGGCTGCTATATGGTGGACATTTAACTAATAGTAATTTTGTTCTCTAGACATTTATGAATTCCCAAATCTCTTTCGTTTAAGGATTGTAGACTCTTCTACAGATGCAAAGACTGACAATGATATGGTAAAGCCAAAGGCTGGAGCCAAAAATTTTTTCTCAGCCCTTTAGTTTTAACAACAGTGAATTGTCTGCCAACACTCAACATGGCGAAAAGTGCAGAGGTCAAACTGGCAATATTTGGAAGAGCAGGAGTGGGCAAGTCAGGTAAGATTTTGTTATTGTTGCAGTTCTTTTTGTTGTGTTTGTTACTGTCTCTGGGGCTTGGTTGTGGAGGAAGTGGTTGGCATTTCTCATATTCTCATGTAATGTTCTTTTAGACGAAGTCACTTTCTTTTTACCCAGAAATTTTTATTTCAAATAACAAAATTTTCTGTGTAGTTTTCCTTGTTTGTGATAAAGTAGTTTTGCGGATAACACACCATGTAGTGCCTATGTTACAGGCCTTGGTATCGTGAAGAAGGATATTAAACAAACCTCCAAAGAAATTGTATTATAAAAAATTTTAAGAAAGATACACATATTTGCTCTTTTCCCTCTACTGCATGATACCTTAAAGGACAGATTTTGTATCTCTTTTGTCTTGATATTCTCAACAACTGGCCCAACATCAAGAATAGTGGGCATTTAATCAATGTTTGTTGAATGAATACATCTTTACCAGAGATGATTAGCATTATTGTCTGACACTTCTAAATTTAAGGAGGACTGTAGTGGATGACTTTAAGCAAGACAGTTATTGCCAGTGCCTCTGGTGTGAATTTAAATGATCAAGTTCTGGCTAACGTTGATCATTCAGAAGTTTTTTCTAGTTACCACTGTTCTGGTTAACCAGTGCCACTCTGGCAGGAATATACCACAAATTGGATGACTTTAACAAACAGGAGTTTATTCTTACAATTTGGAGGTTTTAAGTCCAAGTTCAAAGTGCCAGGCTCTAGGGGCTGGGTGAAAAGCCCCTCAACCTTGGGGTCCAACTCTGCCTCCTGCTCCTGGTCTACTGGAGCTAGAGGCTTTTCTTTACTCAGCTGCTGGCTGCTGAGGCTGACAAACCCAAGGTTGACGAATAAGAAGGCACAGTCCCGATGTTACCAGACTACACTGCAGGCCATTAATTTAAGTCCATTGTAAGTCCCAAGGTCAGCAGAGCATGGCAGGCTGCTGAACAATGACACGGCTACATGCAGAGTCCAAGCGTGCCATAAGCTAGAGACCATTCCCAGGGCTTCTCCTTAAATACAGGAAGCAGACCACATCCCAAAGGCAGCTACTCAGCTGCTTATGGTAGATCCCACCATGGAGTTGATTGCCAGTCTCGTCATGGGGAATAACTACCACCAGCTGCCCAGCCACTCAACCAGGCCCAGCCAAGTTGACTCACAACCATAACTACCACAACCACCTAGACAGTTTATAGACCCTTAAGATTAAAGGTGAAATGGTAGAATGGAATATGTACCTAATCCTATTTGAAAAAATATATCTTGCGTCTTAATGTTAAAGATTGTTAAAATAGATATTGCTAAAAAGTCAAATCAACATGGCTTTTCAGATAATGTTGACAGTCTCTTACAAAGGAAGATTAAGAATTTTGCACACAGACCTTTAAGTTCTCAGGAAAGACCTCAAACAGATATTTAGTAGATGGACTTGTATAGAGGAAAGCCCCATTTGGAAGTAAACTGGATAATCTAATACAAGTAATTCACATGATCTTAAACAAATATAAATAAGTATCTTTTAATTCTGTGATCAACCTCTCTTTTCCTAACCAGGTTCTTTGACATGATTTCAGCAGTAATCGGCCATAACTTTTTTCATCTTTTTGTTTGTTTGTTTCTTTTCATTTTTTCAAGAGTGCTCTTTTCTGCTATCACCCTTTTCTCCTACTTGCTGCTTGCTGTTGCCTCTGGCAGAAACCAAGCAGAGAGAATAGAGAGTTGACAAGACTAAGCAAATTCTAGCCTTTGCAAGATTGACGATAGTTAAACTCCTCCCCATTAATCTCTTCAGTGTTTCCTGATGGCGTGAGAACATAATTTCTGTAACTGGTGGAAGGATCTGGAGAATGAGGAAATTGTTCCAGTGAATGGAAGATGAAGGGAAGGGAGTGTGTGGGAAGGCCTGTGCTGCCAGCAATAGCTTATCTAAGGCCTTCATGAGTGAAGGGTCTAGGCCTGGGGCTGGCTGTTTATTACTTAATTCAAATTTTACCATAGGTAATAAGGGAATGGGACTTTTAAATTTTATATCCTTTACCACATAAACTCCCCATGGATTAAAAAAATTAAACATAAAAATAAAAATTTCACTGAGAGAACCACTTAGCTGTATGAATATCTATCTTTCTCCCACCTAAATTACTTCAGGGCAACCTGTGTACCTTCTTTTATTCAAGAGAAAATTTTATTCAAGATAAAAGTTCTATGATCCCATCTGCCTGAACTTAGACCATAGTTTCTTTTGTCTTCTCCAAAATTGTTACAATTATTCAGTTATTCCTCTCATTCTTTACTATTTCCTTCAAGCATTTTTTTGTCTACTTCATTTTTCTCTTTCTTCAAGCTTATTGCAAGTGGTCTCTGCCCTTGCTGTCAATTTTCTTACCTCCCATAAAATGCTTAAAACATGACACTCTTCCATTGTAATCATGCTACTGCAACTGCTTTTGCTAACATTACCATCAATCAACAAGCAACAAATTGAATGAGTGTTTTCTAGTTCTTATCTTCTTAGGCCTCTTTTTTACCATTTGACCCAGTTAACCGTTTATTAGTTTCTTCCTTTCTTGAGCCCCATGACACCACACTTCTTGGTATTCCTGAAATCTCTCCATCACCCCTCACCAGCTACTTCCGTGGGCTAGCTGCTTTTCACTTGCCTCTCTGAAAAATTAGAATTTGTGGATTCTGTATATCATCCTCTTGTATACTTACTCAGTACTCTTTTTCTAGGGGTGATTTCTCATACCCAGAGCTGGAGTTAACACCTGAACACTCAGAAGAGATGCTCTGACCTCAGGTTTATTTTATGTGCAATACAGAGGTTGAACTTGTTCAGTGAAGCCTTTTCCAACTCTAAAACCCTTTGGTTCTTGATTAATGAACCTTCTTTGGACAGGTTTCTCTACCTTATATACATTTCACTATTTGTATTTATTTTTATTTAGTTAAGAATTACAGTGATCGACTACTGTTTTAAACAATTGCCTTTTTATCTGTCATCTGTACCCAGTGTTTTTCTATTTCAACATTAGTCTTTTTTCCTGAAACCTTGTAACCACATATCCCATTTAAAAAGTACTGGTTTGACTTATTCATGGGAGACAATTTTGAGACCTTTTCCCATGGTTAAGTGAAAATAACCTCAGGCTACTTCCTATCTATCAACATGTAAAACTACTATAGCAATATTGAATTTTGTTCATCTAATTCTTTATTACTATGGATATAGGATGTCTCTGCATAGCCATTGTACCACACATTCTGTTGTGGAGATTATATTAGTCTTATATGTAGCTTTTGGTTTTTTACTTCTGCAAGAAATTATATTTGCTAGAATGTGACTGCAACCCCTCACTTATTCAAATGACACCTAAGACTGGCATTCGTTTCCCATGGACCCATATATGTCCTCTGAGCTGGGCGTATATTTTAAGGATTTACAATCTAATTTCTCTCCAACCACCCAGCTGGAGAAGCACTCATAAGGGAGCCAGCTTGAGATCTCAGAAGGGTGGAAGCTGAGTGTGTCTGCTTTGTCCTGAGCCGGTGTGAATTTCTTCAGAGGCCTTGATTAGACCTGATAATAAACCTAGAATCCCTTTTAATTTTTCCCACACTAAACACCAATTTGGAATGTGAGGTAAATAAGATCATATTGTCCATTTGTTGAAATAGAGGGTAGTGTGGCTAGGAGTCAAGAGCAAGAGCTCTGAAGCCAACCTGTTAGGTTTGACTACCAGTCCCACCTTTTTCTAGTGGTGTGAACTTGCCAATGTTGGCAAGTTACTTACCTTCTCAATTTCCTCAGCTGTACAAAAATATATATTAGTGCCTATCTCAAGAGTTGTTATTAGTATCAAATGAGTTATTATATGCAAGTTGCTTAGAATAGCTCCTGACATAGCAAGTATCCAAATATTAGGTTATATTATTATAATATTTCAAGGTATGTTTATTTTAATTTGTTAAGTTTTCTAGTAAAAACATACTTTCAAAGATCTATCTATTTTTTAAGTGAGTATTTTGTTTTTTAGTAAAAGTTAAAAAGCTTATAAGACAAAACCTTTAGATCAGCACATAGCATACCCTCAACTAACTTTCTTTCTCTCTTTATGTTATCCAAAGTCTGGTTAATGTTGCTTGCAATTTGACCACTGATGATTATAGCAATACTTGTAATGACTTATAGTCAATCTTGGAAAAATAACCAGAAATAGGTGAATGTTATCAATAAATTAACTCTTTAAATTTGAAAGTGCTTTCTGGTATGTGGCATATGAGCTTCCTAAGCCCAGGTACTAGATAGACTGTTTGAAACAGAATTTAACATTGACCAGCATGTTTTGGCTGACAGGTTGACCACAGTCAAAATTTTAATAATGTGCTAATTACTAAGAAGCACTGATAAAAATATGTGCAAAGGATATGTAGTGTATGTGTGTGCATATGAGAGAGGGGGAGAGAGAGAGAAGTATTTACATTTGCATGGTCTGGTGCATTTGATAGGTTCTTCCTTCTGTCTAATTTTACCTCTCAGTTCTGTCATCAAGAAAGCTTGCTGGTTTAGGAACACCACTGTGAGCATGTGTGAGCTGCAAAGTGCAGGGTCCGGCTTTTTCCCAGCCCACTCCGCCTATTCCCACCCCTGCAGGGTAAACATTTACCTTCCCTGGGTAAATTCAGTGTGTAGGGCATAGATTTCCTTCCTTGTATGCATCAGCCTATGTTTTGACAGGCTCCAAGTAATTAAAACAGTGAGACCTGCCAATAAACCTAGAATACACACCATATTTATTTAGGATAAACGAATGCTTCCTGGATTCATATTCTTCAGATTTGTAGTGAGTGTGGGAAGGGCTGATAGAAAAAAGTACTGAAATTTTAAATTTAGCTTCACAGCTGACATTCTCATTTAGAATTGAAATACTGTGTGCCATGGCTAAATATATTTCTTGAAAGGACTAGTTTCAAAGTTAATTGAGT